CAGTACTCCTTCAGAGTTGCTGCAAAATAGCACAAACATCAATAAGAATAGAATTTGAACTTAAATTTACTTTAAATTAGGCTTTATAGGTGAAAATGGTAGGTTTTCAGAAAATAAGCCTCACCACCACATTACTGAGTGTGCAACGTCAACACAAGGATGCCTGGGCAATGCGACAGCCTCCAGAAATGGGACAAGCTCCTAAATGCTGAGAGTGACAAGCCAGCCTGGCTTGACAAGCTTTGCCAACGGCTAGCCAAATGCAATGAGATTACCCTGATCTGGGGAACAGAGATACTTGAGCTCAGGAATTTCCCCCTGGGTGTGATTACCTTGCAATAGCCACTATCCCTCATTCTCATTTCTAGCTGTAGAAGAGGTGCAGAGAGAGGTTAACCCTAGTTTGTGTCCATTAGCCAGTAAACTGTCAAGGCATGGTTTTTAAGGCAACCTTGGAAAAGTGCACAGGAACAATAATGTCTGTCATTAAGGTAGTGAGGTTTCAACTAGAAGAGGCACTTGTGTACTGTGTCAGTGTAGCGTTCAAGTGTTTGCTTTTAATTTACTGGGGGAAATCTTAGTGAATCACTCAGGTCTGTACTGGTCATTAGAGCCACTGCTGAATTTTCTTTTCCCCTCAATTTCCTGTTGCTCAAAACCAGGCATTCTCTTTCCATGATGCCTTGGAACGATAAATCCAGGGTGATCTAGCTCAGGCTGGAAGAATGTAAGCTGACCGCCATAGAACATCCTTGTTCTGAGACACAGCCACTAACAGGTCACATTTTCACTTCAGAGTGAGATGCATATGAGAGGTCTGCATGGAGCACAAGGTTGCATTCCAGAACAACTTGGCCTCCAGCTGAGGACCTGCAGAGAAGACTTGTCCACGCAAGAGAAGGCTTTTGCTTTGGGAGATAAAGGAAAATGGGATGCATCTGCCTGTGGGTCTTGGTGGAAGACTTGTAACACTGAAAACTGGTCCTGGTGTAGAGCCTTGGTCGCTGAAGAGCCATCAAGCAGCTCTACCTCTGTGATGCAGGGGGCTGAATCAGAAACAGTGACAGGCAATAGCACCAGACACCTCAGGCCATTTTGCCTTAGTGGGAGACATGGTCTGGTGTGAAATGCAGGACATAGGGATGACTGCATAGGGTTAGCCCCCAAAATACACCTAGCCCAGTATCCTACCCTGGATGAGACCCAGCAGATGCTCAGGAAGTAATACAAAAATAGAGCAAACATTTGTTTATACTTCCCAGAATACTCTCCATTTCCCTAGTGACTCAGGAACACCCTGAACTGTAGATGCCAGCTTTACATTTAATAGCCCTTGATGGATTCCTCTTCCATTGATTAGCTTTCACCCTATTGAAACAACACAAATTTTAAACATCCACTGTACTCTATGGCAAGGAGTGCCGCAGCTAAAAATCCCCTTTGTTTATTTTGAACTTGTCACTTGACAATTTTCTTTAATGTTCACTCTCTTCCTTTGAAGAGCACTGAATAATATGAACAGCTGTTCCCCAGTCACATCGCTCTTCCTTTCAGAAAACTCAGTCGTATTTCTTCTTCAGTCATTTTTTCTTCCAGGATAAAAAGTCTTAATCTATTAAGTCATTCCCTGAATGGAGGCCCTTTTGTGCTTTTGATCATCTTCAATTACCTTCCTCTATAACTTTTCTATTTCTTCTGTATCATATTTGAGATCAGTGAATCAGGACTGCACAATGGTATTCAAGAGAAGGAAGTCCACGGATTTATACAGCAGCATAGTGATTTCCCCTGTTTTGCTCTCTCCTCCTTTCCTAATAATTCCTAGTTTTCTGTTTGCTTTTTTGATTGCTACTGAGTCTTGAGCTGACATTTGCATAGAGTTATCTATTATAACCTGAAGATTTTGCTCCCGAGTGGAAATAGCCAGCTCAGAGCCTATTATTTTGTATGTAAAGTTAGGATTGTCTTTTCCCATGTGCATCACTTTACATTTATCTACATCAGATTTCATCTGTGATTTTATTACCCTTTTATTCAGTGCCATGTGGGTCTTTCTGCAGCTATTCACAGTCAACCGTTTGCCTCAACCACTCTTAATGTCATCAGCAAACTTCTCCTCTCTCTGCTTGCTGCTATTTTGAGATTATTTATGAATATTTTGAAAGCATAGAACAATGTTTAGGCTCATTTAGCAGCTTCGTCTCTCAAATCTGAAGTGATGTCTCCCAAGGAGAAGGAAGAAATGCAGTTTCCCAAGCTCTTGCGGTGTCACTGGAGAACAGCTGGCATTTCTGGGAATAAATGGCATTGTGCCTAACCAGCATGACTACTTTTCCCCTTGCACAGATAGGTTGGGGGGGTGACACCACTTTGCTGGGATGTGTGTCTTCCCCCGCCAGACTAGTGGAAGATGGACTCAAGCACAAAGAGGTGTGCAGAAGAAAAAGAGGCAGAGTGGAAGCAATGGATGACAAAGCTTTTCTCTCAGAAAACCCCTGCACGCAAAGTTGCGTTGAATGAATAGGAGGTAACTGGCAACTCTTCCTTGCAAAAAGTGATCTGGGAGCCTGTTGAGCTTGCCCAAGGGAGTTCAATGCCAGAGTCAGGTGAGGGGTCTCTATCCATGGGAGGAGACCATGAAGATGATGGAGAGTCACTGCCCTCTGCACAGGCAAGGTGAGACCCAGCTGGTCAGTTAGCGAGAATACCCAGAGATCACCAGTGATGAGCACTTTTTCAGTGGTGTATTTTCCCCAGGAAGCAGCACCTTGTAGCAGTGCAGGGATCATTGTCGGGGAGCAACAACAAGGGGCACTTCTTTCTGCTGGGGGCATCCTTGTTTGGGGAAAGAGGCTGGAGAGTTGCTGCTGCTATTTGTAGCCAAGAGGAGTCCAGCTGAGCATCACTCCAGCACCAGAGGCGAGCATGAAATTAATTCACCTAGGGAAAAAACAGGAGGGAAAGTTAATTGCTCTGGTGGAGGGTTCCTCGTCCCTGTCCAGTGGTGTACCTTGGAACCACAGGGTCACACAGAACGTTTCCCTCTCCTCCTAGAAATGGGGATGCTTTCCCAGATAGCAGAAGGTTTTCTGCATCACTTGAGTTATCCATGCTTTGTTGCTGTTTCCTCTTTTCTCCCATCATTTTGATCCTTTGGGGTTAGACTTGCAAGTGCCATCATATTTTCATGGAAGCAACAGTCCACACTGAAATTTGCCTCCAGTTCTGAGAGGCAGTACAAAGTCCAAGTGCAACTCAGGTCTCCAGGTTGGTTCTGTTTTAAGCCCTTTGGGCAGGGGCTGTCTTCTGGCTCTGCAGGGATCAGCAATGTAAGTGGTGTGCAGCACTTGGTCCCACCAGCCACACAAGCTGAGTTTTGCCTTGAGAGACTGGAGTGGCAGTCAGGGGCGCAACATGCAGATGGAGTAAGACAGGGCTCCCAGTCACACATGTGATGAACTGTGTAAGCAGGATGTCCCAAAAGATGAGACTCACCTCACCTATGGAAGTGCATACACATGCCTTCCCCCATCACCTGCAGCTCCACTTGACCTAAAGGCAGGAAAAAAGGCTCTCTTCCAATACCATTCACTTCTCTTACCCTCCAAACCAGGCTGCTCCATCCAAACTGCCTAGCGGGGTCAGATCCAGGCTGCTCAGCTAGAAATCAGGAGGGGATGTACTCCTGGTCCCAGGCCAAGCCCCAGTCCAAGAGTTTAACAGCACAGGCAAAAGCTTTATAGGATACAAGCAGCCTTGAACTCATCAGTAAGGACATCACCACTGTGTCCAGCAAGGGATGGTGTGTCCTGGAGTGTCCCCTCAACCCAGCTGCCAAGAGAAGCAGCTCCCCAGTGCTTGTTGTCCCAGCCCCGGTGACCCTGGGAGGGTAAGCAAAGACTAGATTTCTGTCTCATCAGCCAGGGGCTGGATGGGATCCCCCTGACAGCTCAGGCCCCTGCAGCACTCTCTTCCCTCCCTGCCTCCCCTCTCCCCTCCCCAGCCAGACAGCATTGCTGTTTCTGTCGGTGTGCAAGAAAATTACCTGTGATTTATCACACAATCAGTGATTTTGTTGGCTTTTTTATTTTCAACATAGAAGCATGTTATACTGCTCTCCCATCCTGAAGTATAGGGTAGGGGTAGCAAATCCTCCTGCCTGGGACTATTTGTCTTTTTAGGCTCATAAAAAGCCTGAAAAATAAAAGCAAGAACAAATCTCCGGTTTGTTGCTTTTTTGTTCCCCTCTATCCCTTACAACCAGGAAGGAGATTCCTAGCTATTCTGCAGAGTCAAAATGTGCATCTTCAGGTTATATATAGTGCCACAGTTACAGCTGGAGTCAGACACTTCATGTGTACAAAATGCGGCTACCTGGGAGCTGCTGCAGACAAGTCCCTCGGGTCCCTGAGACAGGCACAGCCTGAGCACAGTCCCTTTCTGCACATGAAAATTAGCTGATGCATTAATGATGATCTCTTTGCTTTCCCCTCTCCTAGTTGCTCTTCATTCTTCCCAGAGAAGCAGGTGGTAACACTGTTTATTTCTGTTAGACAGCGTTAAACACAGCTCCCTTGTAACGCTGGGAGCTAAGCTCATAGCAAAGAAATGTTTCTATGTTGCTCGTTGGTACCTTGCAGGATAAATTACTTGTGTGTCTGATGGAAAGAGGGCCCTTAGCAAATTATATCCTCAGAGAGCAGCTACTAACATAGCATAAGAAGACCTGAGCTTTGTATATGAAATGTGAAAACACAGAAGTGAAGGATGAATTTTTCGGAGTTATTTGAAGGGGTTTAATTAAAAAGTAAGCAAACAAATAAAAAGTCCTAAACCCAGGCTACGTGGAAAGCACAGAGTGTGATGGTCTGGCAGTGTTCCGGGGTTGGTACCTGTGCGGGGAAAAAAAAACCTGGGGCAGAGCATCCACATCCTCTATGTTCAGGCAGACAACCCTACCACACTTTCCCCACATCTCTTCCTGCCTCTCACCACCTCAGTTTTGCTCCTGCAGCACTGTCATTCTTCTGAGCCCAGAAAACAATGTTATCCTGATGGACAGATGCTTTTTTCTCCTGTTCCAGGATGGAAGTGGTCAGATTTATTATCCAGCAGCAACAACACTTGTGTGGGGGAACACCTGCAGGAATACCCTGCCTCCAGGTGGGTCACTGTGACCCTCCTCCCTTAGATAACTCCCCTCAGCCTCCTGGACTGGCTACACAACTCCTGCTGCTCTTGTAAGGAAATGAGGTCTACAGAGCTGGCTGTCTTGGGGGTGGCTGTCTTAAGGGTGGTGGAAGCTGGGGTAACTTCCCCTAGACACTCTCCCATGATGGTTTTCTTCCAAAGCCTACTTTATGTGGGCTTTCTGTGGGCTCACCTTTCCTTGACTGTTTGTCAGCTACACATTGGGCAACATGGCTGTTTTCATCACATTCACCAAGGAAGTCCTGTTCACCTATTGCATGCAGAACAGCAGGTAACCAGGGCTGAGGACTGCCTCTGGGAGCCATGGTCACAGGGTCTGCTCCCACCCTGATGGCCACCTCTGGTGACTGCAAGCCTGGGGGACACCAGGTACCAGCTCACACCCAAGCAGTCCCAGTGGCATCCCAGGGCTTTAATGCATGCTGAAAGCACCTTCAATTTTTTACTCTAGTTTTATTTTTTCCTATGTGAAAGCTCATGAAAAGTACAGCCTACTAGAGCGGTCGTTTCTTGTGCACCAAGGTCCCAGGTGCAGGCAGGGTGCACAGCACAAGGGCACTTGGGTATTGCTCCATCGCAATTGCCAGTGACATTTGTCCACAGATGTCCTCATATCCCCTGGCATGAGGATTGATCCTGGCATCTACTTTACCGGCTTCCCATGGAGCCCCAAGTGGCCATATTGGAAAAACATGGGCCTGCTATCTGCATGAGGGGAATCCAAAATAGCCAGTCAGTTAGCTTGAGGTTAGCATTGCTTCTGGTTTGTTTCACATCTCCAGAGAGTGCTTCTCACTAAAGAATGACTTAGGTGACCAATTTCACAGAGTCGCAGAATCGTTAGGTTGGAAGGGACCCCTGGAGATCATTTAGTCCAACCCCCCTGCCAAGGCAGGTTTATCTAGAGGAGTCTCCTTCTTGCAGTCTAAGTTGTAATATGAAGTGACTGATGGCTTTAGTAAAAATGGCTAGTATTTGAGCCATCAAATATTAATTTTTGACACCCCATCCCAGTCTTCAAAGTTTCGCTTCAGAAAGCTAGTGTCTGGGGGAATCAGTAAATCCCATCTCAATTTTACAAGTCCGCCCTGTGCTGAGGCTAATTAATGAACATCCTAAATGTCTAACTGGCTATTGCAAATCATTTTAAATAGCTTTTGCAATAATGCTTCCATCAGACTCCTGCAGTCCTACCATTTGCCTGCAGACATGTTGGTCTTTCATCCATCACACGGCAGCCAGGTTTTACAGCCTGACACCAAGGCGATCCCCAGCAGCACTAAGCCATTGCTGATCTGCTTTGGGTCTCTCCTGACCTCACAGGATCACAGGTTTCCCATCGGTGTTAGCCATGTACCAGCTGCTGGCTCACCACTGAGCTGGGGCAGGCTGCTACAACCCACCCAGCCTCCCCCAGCACTAAAGGGCAATACTAAGAGACCACTCCAATATTTGTAAAGAGAATATTGTAGTTTTGATGAGAGGAAAAGAGAAAACCAACAGCCTGTCCTACTTATGGACTGGTTCAGGCTTGCCCATGGCAAGCACACTGTAGCACATCATAGCAAAGTTAGATTTATTTTTTTTTTCCTGCTGTTTTTTCAAAGTTGCAGCACAAGATAATGCTAGGGGAGGCCAAGCCACTTTTGCAGCCTGGTGAGAATCAACTTCTTCATGCTTAGGCAAGAAAAACTCAATGTAACACATGCTGTGAATGATAAAAGCTCCCCATGTGCCACTGCTAGGGGGATGCTCCAGCACCCAGAATCATCTACGCAGATTGTCATGAGATAGGGAGTATTGATTTGTATTTGTATGCATAAATATGGGCTGTTTTCCCTCACACACTGTCTTTCTCTCTCCTTTGTAGTTTGGCAAGGCCATTTCCCTCACCCAGCCACATGCACGACCATACACACGTGCACAGAAGACCTATTTTTAGCATAAAGGTTGCCAGGGCAAAAGGAATTCCCATGTCCAAGGACTTTCAGAAGATGTAGATATCACTAGAAGGAGGGGAACACACACACACAACCCACAGTCTGCCCAAGGATATTTTCTGCCCTTCAGGGACTCATTGCTCTCCCAGGGGCCATCCAATCTCTGTAGCATGCAAAAACTCACCAAAAACCAGCCCCAGAAGGGGTTGGTCCCAGAAGTGATTCTTGAATGGAAAACTGGAAGTTTGGTCCAATTGCAGACAAAATACAGCATTTGGGACCGGGCAGTTGTTGAGTCTAAATTCATTTGTGTGTTTCTCCCCAAGGCCACCCCGAACCCATGCACAGGGATCTACTTGGACTGGGCAAGGACCAGACAGAAGCTCTGGAAGTGGCATGACTTCAGACACCACTCTCACAGTCCTCCTTTGCAGTCCGTCACCATGACACTGAACTGCCAAGTCACCATTAAACCCCTGGCTTAAGGTGAAACTGACTTAGTGTTCCCCAGCCACAGCAATCGGGTCTGCTTCAATGTGGGCTCCCTGCTCAAGGCAAGCACTTGTTGTGGTAGCCCAGCCTGGCCAGCTCCTGTTTGCCAGCTCCTCAGAGAGCAGCAGGGAAACCCCCCAGTGGAGATAAGCTTGGGACTGTTGTCTGGGACTGGTCACAAATTTTCATGCGGAAAAATCACCATTTCTTTCAAAACCAAATTTCCTGCCTGTGTGACTCTTAATGAAATTCCGTCTCAGGAAAGCATTTAGATGAGATTGAAATGCTGTCGCTGAAGGGTAAGAACAACAAGACTCACAAATTCATTTCGAAACACTTTTTCTTTTCAAAACCTTAATATTAAATGTCAATACAAGCACAAAGCCTCTGATTTTATCTAAACAGCATTTCACTTAACGTGAAACAAGCATCTGGGGAGAGGAACACCAGAATCTTCTGGTATTTGTTGTCACTCAGGTTTCCTACCTCTGACCCTTCCTCAGAGGTGGAAATGCCGTTCTGGTCAGGGCTCAGCTGTGCTCGGTGCCACTGTGACAGTCCCAGCCTACTGGTGTGTAACCCTGTCCTTCACTAGATGCAAACACAACAGGTCACCACTGAAACACAGTGCTTGGTTGGGGGCTGAGGCCTCAGGGTAAAGGACTTAAGTTGTCTTCCCTGGTGCAGGCACAAACCAAATGATGACTGTCCTCACAGCAGTAGTCTGTATGTGGCTACAGATGTATCACCAAGGGAAACAGGCCTCTGCCATAGCTGTTCAGAAAGGTGGCAACTACACACCGCCTCAAGTACACAGAACCATAAAGCACTGGCTACTGCTCTTTGGCCCCCAAAACTCAGACTTCTCAGGACCAATTGCTATGTTAGGTAAGGAGGTCATCTTCCTTGCCCCACTACTTCTGGGCAGCCCACTCCCACCAGAGCAGGCTCAAGTCATGAGTTTAGCTCCTCAGTCCCTTTGTACATGTACTGGAAGAGGATCAGCTCCAAAGGGCAGCTGTAAGGGTTAGTGTGCTCCATGGCCATGAAATGAAAAGGTACCCATGACACATTACACGGATAAGTGAGAAAGGCTGAGTTACAAGAGATGCAGGATACTCTCCCACTCGGCCTCCCCTCAAAGAGTTTAGCATTAACACTTTTCACTTCGCATGGACTTCTCTTTGCAGCTGAAAGACCCAGAAAAAAGTCACCTACTGAAGTGGCCAGAAAGCAAAGACGAGCTCATCCTTCAGTATAAAAAGATTCAGCTCAGGAGCCTGCCATCCAAAAATCAGACAATGTTGCAATACTTTTGGCAATCCCTTTCTCACTGATATCACTCCTTGTGTTTCATCATCTTCTGTATCTGCATGAAATACTGAAATGAAGATATCTGTGCTCACAGCAAGCAGTTACATCAGCATTTCAGATCAACTCTTCCTTCATCAAGGTGGTAACAGTCACTTTGCGATGAAAATAAAGTTCCTTTTTTCAAGCTCACAATGCCTATCTCTACATCAAGTCCTTGTAGCACCAAGCTTCTTTCAGCTGACAGCGTTTGATGGATCACAGTCTGATCAGTGGGGTTACACGGTGAATGCGCAGTACTCTGAAGCAGATGGCTTCCATCCTACAGCCAACAAACTGGAAATTTTGGGAACTGGTTATACCAAATGTGACTGATGAGCCTGCTTTGGCTCTCAGCCAGAGATACCTGGGCTGGTGGAGAGGGGATGGCAACCAGCAGCTTAGGTACAGGGACCAGGGGCAACCCAAGAGAGGAAAGATGAGGTGGCCTGGGGTTTCCAGGCTCCAGTTCATGGTAGGTGGCACGTCCTATGGTTTGTGGCAGGGTTGGGCACCTCAGAAAGGGATCAACTGATTTCTTTTTGTTCTATTTAGAGCTCTTTACATCAAAGATCTGATTTGCTCCACAGTGTTGGCTTGGGTCTAGGACCCAGTGAGGATGAAAATGCATGAGAGCAGGAGAAAACAGCAATTGTGGACAAAGAGCTGGATCTACCTGCAGTCACCAACATGCAGTTGCTTCAGCAGCACAGACGTTTCCATTTCCCCTTTTCGTACCCACATCACTTTGTCAATACCAAACACGCAGTGTGAGGAAAGGACTATTAGTTTTGCTTGAAAAACACATGCCACAGTGTAAGGTTATGCCTCAGGCATCACTGTTGTACAAAAAGAAGGGTGGATGCCCGGCCAGCTGCTGTGGTATTCACCTCATTTATGAGATGCAATCCAAAGGGCCAAACCTCTTTAGGAGGCTCCAAGCCTCTAGGAAGCTAGTCACATATCACTGCCCCACACCTGTCAGACAGAAGCTGATTTCCACAGGAGGGTTTCTACTTAGGTTAGTTCATTCAAATGACCTTGTCGAAGACAGAGGGTGAAGGGAAGCTTCGTGGTGACATTACAGAAGACAAACCACAAGTCTCTGGATGATACAATACCAAGGGCCAGAAGAACACTGTGGTAATGAGGAACTATGGGAAGATGAGTCTGTGAGTAGCCAGGTAAGAACAGTTATCAAATACAGTAATACTTGTGTTTTCTGCCACCAGTTCCCAAGTTTTCTCTTAGTAAAAGCCAATAGCTAAAATATGTTTTTGTATTACAGTTGTGGTTTCTTCCCCCTAACAAAATTGTAAGGAAAGAGACCAATCAGTCACACAAGACTGCTTGTCAGTAAAGAAAATATAAATTTACTTTTATTATAACCATAAAGAGGCATTAATTTAACAATTAGCTGTACATTCAGCACTCAGGTATGTATGTGTGCCAAATAAACCCAGTTCTCTTACTGCTAAAAAAAGAACGCTTCTCAGCAATGCACTTGCCTGTGCTTACAGGATGTTTATTGTCTCTGTATTACAGTTATCTTGACAGACAGGCCTCAGGATACAGAATAAAGTTTTACTCTTGGACCAAAATAGGAGGCAACATTTTTATTTAAAAAAATTAAAAACAGCAAGTTTCTAGTCAGATAATATAAAGCATTTTAAATTAATCTTTTGAAAGTATTTACACTATTTGTAAACGTAAATATCTGAAACTGTACATGTTTAAACAAATGTTCACTTAGCAAACAGGCTGTATAAACTGATTGCTCTTCTAATCTTTCCACCAGCTGTCTGGGTACTCTAAGAGAGAAAAAGATCCCAACCACAAAAGTGACTACTGCCATGGTTTAGCCTTCATGTCTTTTTTGTACAATGTCTGTATTAAGTCAGTCATAACTCTGTACAGTGACCAAGCAGTCCTTCTGAAAAACTTCATAAAAAACAAATATACATATATTACAATGCGCTGGACATTATTTTACAGCCTGTATTTCTACATAAGTAAAGAGAAAGGGCAAGTTTTCTTCCTTGTTAGTTAATTTTTAAGGGGTCATATAAGGTCCTAGGAGTACCATTGATGTACCTCAGCACGACTGCTGCAACACTTCTTGTGGTAGCTTTAAATCCTACCATCTTGTTCTCCATTCATGTAACTTGTAATAGGAAAATTATTAAATCAAAATACCACCAATGTGCCTGGAAATTTCTTCATATTTAGAAGTACAGAATAGGTTTTATAAATAAATAAAATATCTGCCGTGTTTCTCACTACATTTCTGTTTTGCAGTGCTGACCAATAAGGATTTACACACTGACACACCCTGAAGCTGCTTGAAGTGTTTCATTCCATTAATGCCCAGGCGTTTAGCATTCAGCTTTCTGCACTATTGACCAATGAATGCATACTGAACAGCGTGCATTGTTTAACAGGTACCGAGCACCTATCCTCTGTTTACAATGCTGATTTGACAGCCTTGCACATTCAATTTCAGGCATCCCCACTCCCCCTTACTCCAGGGCACAAAGGCTGTGCAAGGGTCAGTCTCGATCCTGCTTTAAACAATATGAAACCACCATCTGATCTTGGGAAAAGCAAAAATCCAACTCTACCCTAAAACTAAGTACCTGAAAACCTCAATGCTAAGCTTTGCTGTAAAGCATCTGAAAGCATGCAGTTCCCTAGAAACAACGGAACTTATATTGCACAGCTTTCTATTGCAAATTCCAAGGATCTGAGTCCCTTTACAGAGGAAGGTAAGACCCTTTACAGAGGAAGGTTAGTAAAACTTCAGGTCAGACCTCACAGCTCCCAGTCACAACAGTATAAGAAAAACAGCACATCCAGTGTTTCAAGAAACACTTCACATGTGGGAAATAAAGTTTTCCCAACTAAGAACCTCTGAATTATGTTCAAGCACACGGTGGATTACCAGGATTTTCATGGCAGTTAAAGAAAAACTCAAATTGTCATACCAATGTGCTTATCTCCCAAGTCTTGCAGATATCTCTTACTGCTCTCATTTGATTCTCTGCACTTTACTTCCAGAGTGTCTTTGAAAGTGCGACTTTCCATTGCATACATCAGCTTACTAAGGGAAAGCAAAAACGTTTTTTTCATTAAAAAGCAAAAAACAAGAGGCTTCAACTTTGAAAACATCTGGATAAGGCAGTAACTGAGCTTCCATAAGAGTGATCAGCAAAGGCTTTTTTGTTTTGTTTTCTTCTGCCCAATTCTCAAGCCTATGAACAGAAAAACCTTGGGGTTTTTTTCTTTTTTTTCCCCTAGAAGTTTTGATGCAGACTGGACTGCACAGTGGGATCCTTCGTCTACTTCAAGTAAATGTCTTTGTGTTTCCTTCACTGCCTGGCATTCAGCTGAAGCTTATTTCAAGCAGTCTCGTTGCTGGGTTACTTAGACATCGATAATAATAAGTTCACCTGAAAGACAAAGGGAAAGCCTATGTTAGACAGAACAGCTAAGTTTCAGAACTGATGTGTTATATTTTAACCTTTAAACAGGATTCCTAGGAAGCACATTAGTCAGGAGAAGACAGCTACAAAACAACTGGCCAAAATTTCCAGTCAAGTGCCTACTCGTAGGCTTTTTAAAATGCAGTTGTTGACCATACTGACTACTTATTTCACCAGTCACAAGCTACTGTGTCAAATTTTCTAAGATGACTTCATGTATTGTCAACAAACTCCAAAAAACAGGCACACTGGCAAAAAACGGTAACATTCATCTCAGATATCTGAAATACATTTGGGATCCTACGCAATACTTGTTTCCTACAGATTACAATATGGTTTCCCATCCAATTCAGTTTGTAGGATAAGTGATCCTAAGGTTTAACAGATAAACGATTAGAGGAAGCCACCTCCTCTAGGATAACTCCACCTCCTTATGGTGCATCAGTCCCACTATGTGCTCCAAGACAGTTATCACACATTCCTGTGGCCACATTCACTGCAGGAAACATCCTCTAACCCACAAACTAGTTTACCTGTTTAAATATTAACATCCTGTGATAATCAAGATTCTACCCACTTTCCCTAGACCACTAAGGTCAAAGTGACATCTTCAAAACCTACTTGGTTTCTGTCAGAAAATCCTAACAGAGAGAATTCTTAAACCAAATCATCTCTGAAACTAAAGACTTTACCTACCACGTAGGGTTACACTTCCATAACAATTGCACATTTACCCAATGCAATTTACTTGAAATGCACCCTAGTAATTCTTTCTCATGCTTCCTGAATGCAGAAGTTGCTGCTTTTTATATTTGGCAAAAGCAAGACTGCCTTCAAATGCACAGGCTTTTTTAAGGCGCATTCATTGGCTTTGATATCTCTCTGAAAAGACAATGCCTAGAAACAGAAAAACTCTTCTACAATGTTGTACAACTCAGTGCCAGCAACATCAATCATCACTTTGGTTTAAGAAAATCAGTTATATAGTCTTTAAAGAAAAATCCAAACAAAGCCCTTTTCCAGCTGAGAGCCTAAAGTTCAGATAATGCCCTGAGTTTAATCATCCAGGATTAAGGGGGATAATAAATAAATAAAGATTCTGAACACTGGAAATACTAAAAATGAAAAAAATCAATGTTTAGAAAAGCAAGTCACATGAAAGAGCAACTGATAGAGCTTCAATATATACCTGTTCCATTGAAGGACAAGCTATGATTTGCAGATCTTCATTACTAAATTCTTCCTTTAACAAAGCATGGAGTTTCTGGAACATTTGCTGAATGTTATTCTTTTAAATGAAAGAAGAAAAAACTCATTATTAAAAAACACAACACTCATCTCAAACATGAACCACAATAAGCACAATGTACATGGAATAGCTACTTATATGACCAGGCAAGGAGAAGCAGTCAAGCTTTAAGAACTTTTCCTCTAAAACAAATTGTTTTGGGAACAGCTACAAGGAATCCATGTTGGTTGTGAGATAAAAAACTTCAGCCAAGGTG